GGTCAGAGGGAGAAGCAGACTCCCTGCTGAGCAGGGAGCCCGATGTGGGACTCGATCCCAGGACTCCAGGATCACGACCCGAGCCGAAGGCAGTCACCCAACCAACTGAGCCACCCAGGTGCCCAAATGAACCCAGTTCTAACTCTGACCTCTCCCCCCGCCCCCCAGGGAAATCAGCCTTACACTGGGCAGCAGCCGTCAACAATGTGGAGGCCACCTTGGCCCTGCTCAAAAATGGAGCCAACAAGGACATGCAGGATAGCAAGGTGAGCCCCAGCCCTTGACTCACCAGGCAGTTAGCCCTGGCACAACCCCCTAAATGTGGCAAAGAGCAGGGTGGGGTAGGTTAGTGGGGGCATTCATCCTGCCTGCAGCCAGGTTTCGGGGATAGGATTTGGACCTACCAGCCTCCAACAGTGGATCAGAGGAGAAAGCGTTTGGCAGTTGCTTTGTGACCTTGGGCAAATTGCTTAACATCTCTGAACTTTATTGTCCTCATCTGTGAAGTGGGGAAGCACCAGTACCCACCTCACTTTTGTCTCCTGAGGATTCAGTGAAATTTGTAAAATGCTTAGCAGATCCTCAGTAAAACATAACTGTTATGATCATTGTTTTAAAACCCTTGCAAGGTGGAATTACTCTCCTTATTTTATAAATGGGAAGAGTGAAGGTCAGAGGGGCACAGGGTAGATTCTGTCCTCATCTGACATTTTGATATTTTATTCATTATGGATTTTTTTTGCAATAATCTTAATTTAAAAAGTAATGCATTAAAATATCATTTATTTTGATGATTGGTTTTTGACACCCCTTAAATTTTGTGCCTAAAGCATGTGTCTCACTTTCCTTACCCTAGTCCTGGCTCTGGGGCATGGTGCTTAGTAGGTCCTGGATGAAAGTGCTTTAAAAGAAAGAACTTGCCCAGTTTTCCCTTAGCAGAGCTGGGATTCCAACCAACCCTGTTGGGCTGGAGAGTGTGAATTCTTCGCTCTTAGTGTCCACCAGGGGCTAGTGTCCACCTGAGACCTTAGCCAGGGGTTAATCCTGGCTCTTGCAATGCTGACATCTCGGGGGTTCTGCACCCCACCCCGCTCAGGAGGAAACTCCACTGTTTCTGGCCGCCCGTGAGGGCAGCTATGAGGCTGCCAAGCTGCTGCTGGACCACTTTGCCAACCGTGAGATCACAGACCACCTGGACAGGCTGCCGCGGGATGTGGCCCAGGAGCGGCTACACCAGGACATCGTGCGTCTGCTGGACCAGCCCAGTGGGCCCCGCAGCCCTCACGGTCCTCATGGCCTGGGGCCCCTCCTCTGTCCACCCGGGGCCTTCCTCCCTGGCCTCAAGGTGGCACAGTCGGGGGGCAAGAAGAGCCGGAGGCCACCGGGGAAGACGGGTCTGGGGCCACAGGGCACCCGGGGGCGGGGTAAGAAGCTGACACTGGCCTGCCCGGGTCCCCTGGCTGAGAGCTCAGTCACGCTGTCGCCCGTGGACTCGCTGGACTCCCCGCGGCCCTTCGGTGGGCCCCCTGCGTCCCCTGGTGGCTTCTCCCTCGAGGGGCCCTATGCAGCAGCCACCGCCACGGCCGTGTCCCTGGCTCAGATTGGTGGCGCGGGCCGGGCGGGTTTAGGGCGCCAGCCCCCTGGGGGCTGCGTGCTCAGCTTGGGTTTGCTGAACCCCGTGGCCGTTCCCCTCGACTGGGCCCGGCTGCCTCCACCTGCCCCGCCAGGCCCCTCATTCCTGCTGCCGCTGGCGCCGGGACCCCAGCTGCTGAACCCCGGGACCCCCGTGTCCCCCCAGGAGCGGCCCCCGCCATATCTGGCAGCCCCGGGACACGCCGAGGAGTACCCGGCAGCCGGCGCCCATGGCAGCCCCCCCAAGGCCCGCTTCCTGAGGGTTCCGAGCGAGCACCCTTACCTGACCCCATCCCCCGAGTCCCCCGAGCACTGGGCCAGCCCCTCACCTCCCTCCCTCTCGGACTGGTCAGACTCCACGCCCAGCCCAGCCACTGCCACCGGGCCTACGGCCACAGCCGCTGGGGCGTTGCCTGCCCAGCCGCTCCCCCTTTCCGTCCCAGGCCCCCTAGCTCAGGCCCAGACCCAGCTGGGGCCCCAACCGGAAGTCACCCCCAAGAGGCAGGTGTTGGCCTGAAGGCTCTTCAGTTCCTGGATTTTGGGGGGCTGAACAGATATCCCATCCTGACTCTCTCCCTTTCTTTTTAGACCTTTCCATTCTCTTCTCTCTCTCCCAGCCCTCCTGTATCCCTCCCACCCCCCTTGAAGCTGACTGAGATAGGTCACCAGCCTAGGCTTTTTCAGTCCTCCTTTATTTATAGGGGGTGCGGGCTGACCCCCGCCCTCTGAGCCTTGTGATGAGCCTGGGACCTCCTCCTGCACTCCCCTTCCCCACTCTTCCTTCCCTCCTTCCCTTCCTGCCTCCTCTGGTCTCTCTCCTTACACTCTGACACGAGTGGATTATTATTATTTTTTTTTTTACATTTTGTATAGAAACAAATTCATTTAAGCAAACTTATTATTATTATTATTTTTTACAAAATATATATATGGAGACACTCCCTGCCCCTGCAAACCCCCCAGTGCCCCCGTGGGGCTGAGTCTGTGGGCCCATTCGGCCAAGCTGGATTCTGTGTACCGAGTACACAGGCATGACCGGGATCCTGTGTACCGAGTACACAACCCTGGTGTGTACCAAGTAGGCACCCTTGGGCGCACCCTCCGGGGCAGGGGTCGGGTGAGACTTGGGAGCCTCTTTCCTATCCCACCTCCCTCACTTCACTGCATTCCAGATGGAACTTGTTCGATAGCTTTGCCGGGGGGAAGGGCCCTTCTGGCCCGGAGAGCCTGCCCCGGGTCCCCCAACCCTAGAGCCTGGGCCACTCCCTTGGGGAACTGGGTGGGGGAGGCTGGTGAGAACACGAGGACCAGGGGAGATGTGTGCGTTTCACTTTGTTTCCCTGTAAATATGGGACTGCAGGAAGGGAAGGAGCCGCCTGGGTGGCACCCCCCTCCTCCTGGCACTCCGCTGGCCCAGCCCCGGGGCAGAATAGAAGTATTTTTAGGCTATTTTTGTAATGTGGCTTCGGGTCACAATCCCCGTGTAGCTAAATTCCCGGGCCTTGCATTGTACAGCCCCCACTCCCCTCACCACCTAATAAAGGAATAGTTAACACTCCGTGTCACTGGTCTGCGTCTAGGTAAAGTGGGGGGTGGTACTGGTGGGCCTTCCGTATCTCCACGGCCAGTGTGGGAGCTCCCGCCTTGGGGTGAACCTATTTGGCTTGTGAGCTTGCTCCGGCTTCCGCCTTTGGCAGATGACTCCACTGATTGGCTCAGAGGTGGTCACCTGACTCAAGGTGAGCCAATCAGAGTCCCTTGCCCCGGAAGTTCTTTAGTGGAGATGCTAAGCAAGCCGTCAGTTGTTGGAACTTCTACGGCCAAGGGCAGATGGAGAAATATGGGTGGCCAGTTTGGGGTGGTGAGTATAGATGAGCAAACAGAGCAGAAGAGTGGGTCTGCAATGCAGGGAAAAGGTGAGATGAGCTCCAGAGAGTTGGAGGCAGTATCTCAGTTCCAGAGGGAGCGTCAATTCCGGTTAATTTAGCATGTATCCCATTGACATCAACAGGTACTTATTCATTGCCTCCTAAATGCCCGATGCTGGTTCTGCAGGGATCTCACCTCTACCTCATGCTCCCTTGGGTTCTGGAGACAATGCTGCACCGCGGAATATAGATTCTCCCTTACATATACCAGCGTGGGTGGGTTTCCGTGTCTTGCAATCATTTGTGCCCCCAAACGAGGTTGTGTTTACACCGGGACCCTCCAGGAAAGGAGGATGGGATAACGTTCATTGATTCCTCCTGTCATTTTGTCATTGGCCGGGTCCCTTCCCTGCCTCTCCACGCTGACCTCGGTTCTTGGTTCTTGAGTTTGGCTGAGAAAGAATTCAGAGCTAAATTCTCAAGCAAGAGTTTGACAGCAGTTAAAGAGAAAATATACTCTCAAGAAGGGAGAGCGGGCAGGTCCAGAGGTGGCAACTGTGCCAGGGGTCAGGGTTGTCTTGCTTTTATACTTGCATGGGTCATAGGTCATAGCTGGGGCGGTCTCCCTCTCTCTCTCTTTTTCTGGTTTCCGGAGTTTGGCTTTATTTTGCAGTATAAAATCATTTGGAGCCATTTTGAGACAGACATCCCTGAATTGGAGGTTCCGTCAAATCAATACTACATTACAGCTTGGTCGGTTGAGGAAGACACACGTGGGATACAAAAGAAGCCTCTCCATTTACCTGCTTTATAATAGGTTTCTTTCCCTTTTGCTCTCATCAATTTTATAAAGTTAAAACATGGCGCACAGCTAGGGAAGTCTCTGCCGGGGGCTGCCTCCCATCATCTAAGGGACTCCTACTTGTCGGGTAGGGGGACTCGGGGCCCCCCCCATGATCCTTGTGGAACCGTCCTGGCAGCTCTCCCCTGCAGAGGGTGTCAAAACCGCAAGGTAAATGTATTTTTTTTTTTTTAAAGATTTATTTATTTGACAGAGAGAGAGCAAGAGAGGGAACACAAACAGGGGGAGTGGGAGAGGGAGAAGCAGGCTTCCCGCGGAGCAGGGAGCCTGATGCGGAACTCGATCGCAGGACCCTGGGATCATGATCTGAGCCGAAGGCAGACGCTTAACCGACTAAGCCACCCAGGCGCCCCAAGGTAAATGTATTACTAGGAAGCTAGAGGTTACTGGAGGGCAGCAGTTGTAGGGGAGAATGCATGCGTATCCCCTCCGCCCCCCACCAGGCTTTCTCTGCTGCTTGGAACTTGGTTTCGCCCTTTTGATCAGTTGGAAAGCATTTGTTCCCCTCCCACATCTAGCTGACTGCTTACTCTATCCATTTGGAGTGCCCTTGGTTGCAAGTGACACAAAAGCCGACTCAATTGGCTTAAACAGAAAAGGAATTTATTAGCTCATATGGCTAAAGAGGCCCAGCTTCAGGGAAGATTTGATCTAGTGGCTCCAATGAGGTGAACAAGGGCTGAATTTCTCTTTATCTCTACAGACTTTTCTCTGGGCCTCAATTTCACCCTCAGGCTCCACATAAGACCCAACCTAACATCTCTTCCCACCCCCACACAATTCTAACCCTCCTTGTGTGTTAGCAAAATAAGTGCAAAGAACATAGACCCTGTTGCACTTTCCAGAGAATCAAGAAGCTTCTAGGTTTTTTTTTTTTTAAGATTTTATTTATTTATTTGAGAGAGAGAGAGAGAGCGAGAGAGCGAGAGCACAAGTGGGGGTGGGAGGGGCAGAGGGAGAGGGAGAAGCAATCTCCCTGCTGAGCAGGGAGCCTGACATGGGGCTCAATCCCAGGATCCCAGGATCATGGCCTGAGCTGAAGGCAGACGCTTAACCAACTGAGCTACCCAGGTGCCCTGAGAAGCTTTTGGTTTTGAGGTTGATTTTGTTTTGGCCCCAATTGGATCACGTATCTGTCCTCTGACTTAGGGTTTCTCAACATTGACAGTATTGACATTTGGGGCCAGATCATTCTTTGCTATGGGTGCTGTCCTGTGCATTGTAAAACTTTAACAGCACCCCTGGCCTCCACCCACTAGATGCCAGCAGCACCCTCCTCTTCCATTGTGACAACGGAAAATGTCTCCGGACGTGGCCAATTGTCCCCTGGGAGTGGGGGGTATGGCTTTTGAGCACTACTGCACTAACCAGTTACTATGGCAGTGGGATGTGGGATGTGCTGATTTTTAAAGCAATCAGTCTCTGCTCTGAAACTGGAGTGGGGGGTGCTAAATTTAGGGACAATCAGGTTTGCAGAAGTAGGCATTCTGTTGAAGCAACTAATACATGTTTACTCTACCTCCGTCCCTTTGGCTAAATCTTTGGAGATTTGGAGATGAAAGACAATCTCTTTCATCGTTGTCTTAAGTGTAGTTTATGTATGTTCATCTATCCTCTGCTTGCTTGTTGGGCACCTACTGCATGCCAAATTCTGGACTAGTTGTTGGGAGTAGAATGGTGAATTATATGGCCCACTCTCTGCTCTTATGGAATTTCAGGTGAGTTAGGGGATGTATAGTGGGCATGCCAATATGTCCCTTTGGATCTTACCATTCCAGATGTTGACTGAGTTTCAGGACCCCTAAAACTCTCTACCTGGGAGCTTTCTCTTGTGTGGGGCAGGAATTGCCCTCAAGAATGTGGGGTGGATGGGAGTTAATGGATAAATACCCCAGTTTCCTTGCTCCTCTGTGGGGGGCAATTCAGAGGTGTGTTCTATAGACTCAGAGGATGTCCATTGGGATTGAGCCCCATGGCTCATGGCAGCAACTAATTCTTCCTCACTGGGACTTTCTGGGATGTTCCTTTTTGGAATGTTCATACTGGATATTTCTGGAATAATTTTTCAAATAAATTCTTTGCACTTGAATCCTTGGCTCAAGAGAGGTCCATCTTAGCTGTGTGTATGAGTTGACTCAGGGGGAGAAACAAAAATATCTGTTGGGGTGCAAGCAAGTTTGGGGATCCTTCTTCCTGAGTGCTACTCAAAGGAGGAGAAAGTCATTCTCTTCACCCACTTTGCTTACTTTATCATGCAACCCTGACTTTATATAAACAGGGCATTGGAGATGCTTGTCCCACAAGGGGGAACCTACTTTCATGTCTGGTGGAGCCAACTTTTTGTAAGTACACGTGAGACTTCTCTGCTCTGGGGGCCCACTGGAATGGTTAGGGGAGCGATATCAGGTGGGAGAACAGGAAGCCTGCTCACTGCCTCAATGAGCTGGTGAGATTCAAAGATTCATGTGCATGTGACTTTACTGGTACCCACCAAGTTCAGAGACATTTGGATTCATTATCCTAGTTGATTTCTTCTTCTTCTTCTTCTTTTTTTTTTTTTTAAGGTTTACTTATTTATTTTAGGGAGAGAGAGAGAGAGCATGTCTGTGTACGGGGGTAGGGGCAGAGGGAGAGAGAGAGAATCTCAAGCAGACTCCTTGCTGGGCATGGAGCTTGATGAGAGACTTGATCCTATGACCCTGAGATCGTGACCCGAGCTGAAATTAAGAGTCGGACGCTTAACCAACTAAGCCTCTCAGGCACCCCTGTCCTAATTGACTTCTTGACTGAAAAGACAGTGATAGAACAGCTGTGTGTCTGCTGTTTGCCCCTCCAGATCTATCCTCACCCTTCACTCTGTTCTGTGCTTGGGAGGATGATTCAAGTAGGTGGCATCATTGGGCTCCTTTATCCGCTGGCTTCTGCTTGGGTTTGGCCAATGAGATGGAAGATTAGAGAATAGAATGTATTTCTGGTTCCTCTCCTGCAGGGTGGCTGTGGTGCTCTCCATCTAGCTGCCTTCTGTGAGTCTGGGTATTTCCCTCTCCCTCTCCTTGGCCCTTCTAGCCTAGGGGTGGTAAAATCTCTCTACCATTGCAAGTTCCAAGGTCCAGCAGCAGCCTTGCCTACATCCTGCTCTTTCTTTCTTTCTTTCTTTTTCTTTCTTTCTTTTTCTTTCTTTCTTTCTTTCTTTCTTTCTTTCTTTCTTTCTTTCTTTCTTTTTCTTTCTTTCTTTCTTCTTCTTTCTTTCTTTCTTTCTTTCTTTTTCTTTCTTTCTTTCTTTCTTTCTTTCTTTCTTTCTTTCTTTCTTTCTTTTTCTTTCTTTCTTTCTTCTTTCTTTCTTTCTTTCTTTCTTTCTTTCTTTCTTTCTTTCTTTTCTGTCTTTCTTTCTCTATCATCTATCATCTATCTATCTATCTATCTATGTATCATCTATTTATCATTTATCCATTCATTCATTTTTGTTCAGCTTTATGAGTTATAACTAACATATAATAAATATATTTTAAAGGTTATTATTATTTTTATTTTATTTATTTCTTTTTAAAAATATTTTATTTATTTATTTGTCAGAGAGAAAAAGAACAAGCAGGGGGAGTGACAGGCAGAGGGAGAAGCAGGCCCCCTACCGAGCAAGGAGCCTGACCCAGGACTCAATCCCAGGACCCTGGGATCATGACCCGAGCCAAACGCAGATGCTCAACCGACTGAGCCATCCAGGCATCCCAAGATTTTTATTTATTTATTTGGGAGAGAGAAAGAGAAAGAAAGAGAGGGAGAGAACAAGCAGGGTAGGAGCAGTGGAAGAAGCAGACTGTCTGTTGAGCA